ATCTATATAAAAAACGAAAAAAAATATTTTTGATTGAAATTCACAAATAAACTGCATCTCTACCTTAAATTGTTTTTCATATAACTTTTCATCAGTATCTTGATTGTCCAGCAAGGGATTATGGGTAAAGTATGACAACATAGCCACTTTTGAAAGAATGTGAAAAAACTGTAAACTGCATTCTCCTACATTTGTGGAACTCTTTCTCTGGGAGCATTATGTTGTTTGCTCGCAGTTCCCCTTTTAAAATTATGTTCTGACCTGCAAAGTAGCACTGATCTTTGCCGTACCCTCCTAATGCATTAGGATTCTCCAATCCTCGTTTTACTCTCATCACATGTCTCCATCTGTGTTCTGGATGTTGTAAATAATGCTGTAAATGATCGTATAGCTCCTCAAAGGACATTTCTGTGGCTTTACACGATGTATCTGTGAATATAAAAACAAATAATTCAAATTTAATGTAAAATGCATTAATTATTCATAAGTTTTTAAATTTGCTGAATTAAATGTATGTAAACATTTCAAATTACAATAGAATCCAATGTTTAGATGAAAATTTAGAAATTTAAAACCCAGTGAGCATCTTTGAGCACCAAATTTTTTTCCCTACTTAAATTTGTTTACATTTTCTAAATTTTGGGCCGAAATTTGTGAAAAAAAGCAGACTATAAGTTAAATTGTGTGATCAAAAGGTTAAAGTGTGAAGTTGTTGATTGGATTACTTTGCAGTTTATTTTCTTCCTAAATTAAAAAATGGGAGATTAGTTGTTTAAACAACAAGAAAGTATTATCTCATGCTACATTTTGGGGTCGAGAAGCACTGCTTAACAGCGCAAATTTATGACCAGAAACATCACAATTTAAAATTTTTTTTTAGCCAAGTCACTTCTGAAATATTTGCTTTGAGCTTTCTTATGAACTTCTTAGACAAAATGTTCAAAAACAAATTTCTGAAGTTCAATAAACTAGAATTGGACTAAGATGACTCATTGATAGCAGCGTAGCATAGCAACAACAAATGTGGTGGTACACAAGTCCTGAAGATTAACATACATATTAAAAGTTCACCATTCCAGTGTAAATCAGCTGTCTTTACTTCCTTTGAAAACAATGTTCACTTCATAATCTCCTTAATTTATTATATAGCGAAAATATGACTTCAGTTTATATAACCACTTTTACAAGTGGACAAACTTTTATTCTGGTGGTTCTCTCGGTATAGGATCCCCTAGGATCTCTAATAAACAACAGGTATTGACAAGTATTTTTGCTTGCACTGAACTCTCCACAAGAAGGTGAAAAATAATAAATTTAGCTCAATTTTTTTTTTTTGCAAACATTTGTAGTGGCACTGTCAGTGCTGGGGAATCACATATTTTGTGAAGGTCTAAGTCGTTGCCCACAACAACAATTTAACTTAACAAGACAATAGTCATACCATGGGGATGCTTTATTAAACAGCACTGGGATATTCCCAACACGTATCACCCACTTCTCTAAATACACTTAAATACAAGTACAGTTTACTTAAAAATAAAAGGACACTACTAAAAAGACAAAAAACATATTTGTTTTCGTACAGTTGTGCCCATATGATTTTATTGTCTGTCTTTAAAATTGAAAAAAGAAAGCTTTATGACTACTCGTTATTCAAGTCTAGTATAAAAGCTTGTATAAATAACAAACGTTGTACGGGTATAAAAGAATGAGTTCTCTTAGAAAGACTAAAGGTGTAAAAAGACAATAAGCTGTCCGTACTGCACAGACCAAAGAGGAATATATTCAATTATTCAATCACTCATGCACATGTCAATCACAGAACAACTATCATAAATTGAAAGACGTAAAATGTTTTCCACACAGGTACATATGCACTTATAACGCTTCTAAACTTATGTTAAAAATAATTTCTTATAAACTTGAAATCTATGAAAATACAGTGAAAAGCAGTAAGCCGTACTTTAGTTTACAAACATACTTATAACAATTTGTAATCATCATCAGCTTTCATTCAAATTCAAATATTTAATAATGATTGGCTTAGGGCTTCATATTTTCCATGTCCATAATGAGCGAGCAAGCCTTCAAGTGACTGAGATCGTCTACTTATTCAAAATGAATAACATGCTGATTGGAGGATGACTGATTGCTGATTAATATTAATTAGAACTCGCGATGATGTCGCCATATAATTTCTGGATTGGTCACTATCAGTCATTTTGATTTTAAAAAATTTATAAACTTTTATAACATCCCCAGTTTAATGTCCTTCACTGTAACCAGAATGATATTTATACTTAGTTTGTTGTCATAAATACTTGTTCACTAAAAGTAAGTAAGTGATAAAATAACTAGAACAAGGAATGACCATAGCGAATTTGCATAAAATAACCATTTTTGGACTAATTTCCATTCAATAAATGTTTTGATTTGCCCAAAAACTATGTATTGGTTATGGTTGCCGTAAACAAAACAATTCACTTTTTTGTGCTAAACTACTGTAGAACACGTTGAAATAGCTGCATGCAATTTTAGCGGATTTTGACTCTTGGCATGAATCAACAGAATCTTAATTTAGCTAAAGTGTTGACTATCTCATTGTGAGAATATACTCTATTGGCCACATCTTGAATTAGCGAAATTACAGATTAGCTTAATTGGCTAAAATAACATGCCAGCTAAAAAGACATGTTTTACAGTAGTTTGATTTGAATAAAAGGCAAAAGAAATGCAGTTCACAGAAAATAGAAATATTAGTCATACTCACAGTAAGTTAAAGCTTGCGTGAAGAAAATTGGAATGTTAGCATTAAAGTATGTGTTGATGGTAGCAAGCCCTTCTTCAGTCTCCAGCAAATCTTGGGATTTGGTTCCTCTCAAACCAAACTTATCACGACAGGAATACCATGGTTGAAGACCATCATTCATGGAACGAAACTAAACAGTGACATTAAGGTATTTACCTGGTTTATGAAATTATGTAATAGCTAATGCTGTGCTGTTTGCAGGCTCAGTGAAGAACCACTGAAAAGAAATAAGTGATTTTCCATTCAATAATTCATGACAACCAAAAGTACAAATATAATTTTTTCACAAATATGTAATCAAACAAATTGATGATATTGTTTTATCATAGAAAGTAATGATGAATTTAAAAATCATTTTAATGGATATTTGATCTATTTTTGGTGCAAAAATAAGCTTGGTGATCAAATTTTTTTGAATATTGTAATCACCACCAAAAAAATTGATTAGAGCTAAATACATTAAATAAGAAAATAGCCCTCTCTCATTTATGGGAATGATATGGTTTTACTGTTATATACATTATTTCAACAACAACAAAAAACTATTGTTATGTAAAAATGAAAGGATACTAAATGCGTTCCAATTTCATGGTTGGCAAGACACAGAATACCTTGCTGCCTCAGATACGTATTATCCACGGAATCTTTGATCCACAAAGAAAACTTTCTCGCTTCCGGTTTATTCAGTTTTGTATGTGGACCATTGCTTGACATTCTTGCACTGGGAATACAATCAAAATTAAAAAGTTGTAACCATGTAATATATATACTTTCACAATGGTTGCTGAAACTAGGAAGTTTGTATGCAAGAGCACTGAACAGCAAAAAACACAGAAATTCACACATAAGGGTGTTGATGTGTGAGAATATACATTATAAAGCAAGGCTGAAATTCTAAGCTACTAATTTAAAAATACGATAGCTTTATGGAAAATGTTAATTACCGGTAGTAGTCTATTAATTTTTTAAGATACCAGTTGTAGTTATGCATGAAATCGTGAATACTAATAAATAACATTATGTGTAGATGTAGTTTGTATTTCAATTCATTGAAGAGAAAATAGTGATTTACTGATTATTTAGAAATGTTTAGTCCAGATAGGTTCTAATTTTTAAAAAATCCTAGGACAAGGTCCTGTAAATGATATAAATTAATTGATCAACTGTTTGCAATAAATTTATAAATAAAACAAGTGTCATCTTTTAACATATGATCACAGAACAATTTCCCTGTAACTGTTACAGCATTGGTCATAACTGAATGCCTATAGGTAAATAATTTAATTCCCAATCCCAATTTAAATTCTAAAAGTTTAATTTTCACAACAAGATCATATCATATTAGTGGCACTCATGTTACGTTTCTGAGATGGAAATTCAAGCATGATTTTAGTTTGAGCTCATTTTCTGTATATGTTGTGTTATATTTATAATACACATTAAATTAAGTTTGTTTTCTTACGTGCAACTAAGGTCTTTACTCCATCCAATTGTCAGCATCCCATCTACTGTATTTTCTTTAATATAATTGCTCAATAAAGATGATGCCTCATCGACAGTTATTCTTTCCCCAAAAGACTGCGTCATGAATTCCTCGGCAGATCCGTAATTCTCATGAACATAATCAATGATTCGCCGTGCTTCTTTCATGTACTGGAAACGTATTTGCGCTCTCTTAGTACTTAGCACGCCCTGGATTCTCTCAGGCGACCCGACAAGCTCAAATCTTGGAACAAGTCCGTATGTCAAGAATCGATGCTTCTGTTCCTCAAGATTCAAAATGTCAAACTTGGTACAGTATTTCTTCGGAGTGGTGTCATAAGTCTTAATGCTGGTCCTATTTGGCGTGATTCTCACTCTGCAGCTATGCCCCCTCCCACTTTTCTTCCCTTTCTTTTTCTTCTTCATTCTTCCCTCAGAAATTTCAAAGTGATTTCAAACAACTCAGCATCATATACTTATTATGACTGTTACGAAAAGGAAATAAAAAAAAAACGTTACAAGAAATTAAAAATAATATGAGGTATATCATAGAGGGTCTATGGAAATATGCTACATTTTATCAGGAAATTAAATTTTAAAAATCGGTGATTAAAGGACAACTTGATGTGTCCTGACAGAATAGTAATAATTTCAGATGACAGCAAAAATTACATTAGTTTAGTGCGCATCAAAATTCTTAAAAAATAAACAAAAATTATAAACTTTTTTAAAGAAATATCTTTGACAGGGTTAAGTTAGGTCAAGTAAAAAATGTTTTACACAACTGGTGTTGCCCAGAAACACAAATATGACGAGTTTAAAACTGCGGTAACGTTGTCCGTATTTCCATTCAAGTTAATGAAAACAGTGATGAAACAATAGTTCGGCGCACTGCCTCTAGAATGCGAAGTTCAAGCGCTGACTTGTTAAAAAAAATTGTACCTACATGGCGAGAGTGAATTAAAAAATGTATATTTTCATTTGTAATATGAATGGCGCGACTGTATGTACACACTCGTAGAGATGATGGCGACTTGGTAAATGCCGGACAGACTGTGCAACTTCAGATTCACGGAGGAGACCGGTTAGCATAAGCATGAATCCAACACAGACAATGTCTATTTTAATGGATATTTCAAAGACATACCCTACATGTAATGTCACCGCACAGCTGAGGTATTGTTGGACAGAGAAAGAGATGCTTGTTAAAACCTTATACACAAAAATAAACAATGAGACGGAGCAAAGGGTCAAATCTGACAATCGAACGCGTCGCTCGATCACGCCCACTCAAGTCTTGAGAACGGGGCACTTACGAGGGTGGAAATGAAAAGAATACGTACTTTTCCCGACTCTAATAGATGAAATAATTCTACGCTGCGAAGAAGTCAAGAAATGTTGGTAAACTCATGACGGAGCAACAAGTCACCGGCACTTACGCAACCAGGGAAGCCATTTTGTAACCAGGAGAAGTGGGCATGCGCACGACCGCTCTGTGACCTCACAATCAGAAACCCGCGAAATACGGAATTCTTGCAGAAATATTGCTCGAAACGTCTAGCTATTTTTAATAGTTATTTAGGACTACAATTACCAAATATTATCTTCAATATATCATACTTATCAGTCCGAGCAGCGTTTATTTATTTATTTATAAACTACTATTGCAGAACCCATCCCGGAAAACCATCACTAGTTCGTCCACGCACACCCGTGAACACGGCAGTGTATGCTGTAGGGGCAGATTGTGGAGATAAATAAGTGTTATGTATGCAACTTAGGGTAGAGATGCAGGTTGGGAGACTATATTTCTAATTGCCTCTAATTACTGTAATTACATGAGTAAAATATACTTTTTACCCATCAAGTTATATATCATTTGAAAGAGTTTTATTTAAACTTTTGAGTTTTATGGTTTACAATAATATACTATGATACCATATTAAGTGGTGTTGATTTTGGGTTAAAATCATGCATTTTAGGTGAAAGTGCACTTAAAACTATTTAACTTTTGAATGCTTATTTAAAACTTCTGTTTACTAGAAACATAATGGCTTATTTATTAGTGCTTCCATTGAAAAGTTTTTACACAGTGCTCTTTGAAACATTCACATTTTATAAATCGTCCACAGTTAACAGAGCCGCTAATTGGCAGCTCTATTGTTTCTGTTCCAGTAAAGACAGTGAAACCATACGAAGCCATTTACTTAGGATAGACCTGAATAATGACCCCTGAAAATTTCATCGAAAACAAATGAACCGTCTAGAAGTTAAATAGTTTTAAAGTTGAAATTTGGAGTAAAAAATGAAACTGAGATAATCGCCATTTTGTAAAAATAAAGTTTTAAAACGAAGCATTCACTTCATATGTGTAACATAAACTCCTAGAAATACACCATGCACCGTAATTTGCCGATGTAAAATCGTCAGGTAAAAAAAATAAAATAAAAACATTTACAATTCGAGGAAAACGGACATAAAATCGTCCGCGAAGTCTCAACCTAGCGTGAAAACTGTCATGACGTCGTGTTATCAATTCCACTGAAGGAGGGACACAATGGATTACGTAAAGCTGATGAGATATTCATACAGTTATATAAACATAGCGATCGCCATTGGGTGGGTTGAGTCTAAATTTACCTTC